CAAAAGCGTTCCAGCTTGCACCAGAGGCCAATCGTGTATGTAGCATCCTAGAACCCGTTTGTTAGAACTGCCTGATGAAAGTGCGGGTGCTCGATCTGCTGGGCTTGCCGATCGCTATGGTCGCGTCGCTTCTGTTTGCCATTCCCCGGTGAGACCGGCAGCACCAGGTTTACGTTTGTTTGACCCCACTGAAACCCAGGGTCGATTGACTTCCCCAAAGAACGCATGTCCGGGCTAGAATCCTGTGCGTGACGTTTGGGAGCGCCGCAGGCGAATTTCTTCGCCAGCGCTGGCGTTTTTCTGTGCCTTGGCTTGGGCGCCCAGTGCGGTTGTCCAAGAGGCTTTGCACTTGGCCCGGGAAAGCTCCTGCTAGAGGAAACCCAAGGCCCACCAGGTTGAGGGCCCAAACTGAAGGAAACTCGTTTTCGTCAAGCCGCTCAGCCACTGGAGCGTGCCTTTGCGAAACTTGTCAGTTTGCCCATTGCTTTGGTGCAGTGATCATAGGAACCAAGGTCTTCCTTCGAACCCAACTATACTACTATACTTCCCCCCCTGTGATTCCATGGACTCGGTCACTGCTTCGCATTTAAGGTTCTTAGCAAGGTAATCCCTTCTCCCTATTGCTAAACGCAATTCTAAACCCGACTTTTGAACATCCCAAATCCGGGAATACTACTTTTAGAATAGCCAATACTAAACCAATTCTAAAGTAGGTAGTTTCCTGCCGGAGTACGTTTCCTTCCTACGGCTGTAAGCCCCTAATGCTAAAAAAGCGGTTTTTTTTTCCAGGGGGACCCACTTAGTAAGCACGTGAGGCGGCACCGCTTCGGACGGGCGCCTGGGCGCACTGGGGGCCCCCGGAGGCGAGAGGGGAGGTGTTTCGTTTGGAGGTTGAAGCATTTGGCTCACTTTGGCTTGGATGCGAGGCAAGAAAATCGCATCCGCACCATGTTCTGTTCTGAATATTCACGTCACGCAGAAGCGCTTTCCTTCAATAGTTACCCAAACTGGTGGTTTTCATTTTGGCGTCCCTTTCAAAACACCAAAAAGGGTGCTACCTCCAAAACAGGACGCCATGAAAACGGCTCAAGTTCCCATTTTTCGGCTGCCCGAGCACGTAGGGCCCTACGTGCAGAGCTTCGGCCAGCGGCTGCGGGCGAAGCTGCCGAAGGGCCACGCCAAGTGCCGGGTGCAGCTGAACTACACCGAGGTTGGCACACCCGAAAGTTGGGGGCGAATGGTTTGGGAGCAAAGGGAAGGGTTGCGGCCGCGGCCGCTTTTTACTTGGTGATGGATGTGATGGATGTGATGGATGTGATGGATGTGATGGATGTGATGGATGTGATGGATGTGATGGATGTGATGGATGTGATGGATGTGATGGATGTGATGGATGTGATGGATGTGATGGATGTGATGGATGTGATGGATGTCAGTTTCTAGTTAGGGGAATTGGTGTTGGAGGGTGTAAATGGGGTATGGAGAGGGGAGTTCAGTAGAAGATTGTTGCCGCCTCAAAAGTGGATGTCCTCCTGGGTGCCATGAATTCGGACATCTCCAGTGACTGAGGTCCAGAACTGGTTGATTTGCACACATATATCAAGCCCGGCGGCAATGCGCACCCGTCTAAGTTCAGGACGCCTTGATGTTCAAATGAGGCACACTGGGCATCTTAAATGTACCGCAGCCTCATGAAACCATATTGAGGAGAGCTGGACGGTTTGCGCGTACTCGCGTACTGCGCATGTCAGACTGTCAAGGAGCAACTTCGGCAAGTCACCAAGTTGGGGCGACAGTTTCCACGTTCCAAGGCACCTGCGCCTGTCACAGGGTCAACAGGGGTAAAGCCAACCGCATGCCTCTAATGCAAATTGACTTGCTTTACGACGCAGGCACATGCATACATGCTCTGGACAATTTCCAGCGCCGTGGTTTTCTTCTCTCTTCCCTAAGGCCCTCAGTCACGTGAAGCGACTGTATTGTCTTGAGAGCATGCGATTGTTTGGAGATGCAGCCGTGGGCGTATGACGCTATGGATATTTTCTGTTCGGATTGGGCAGGTGGTTTCTGGGTTGTTCTGCGTGATTTTGAATGAGTTCGCCATCTATCTGACCGACCAAGGCCATTCCCCAAGTTTTCGTTTCGGCTTTGAAGGCCCTTCCCCAAACCCCATGACCCAATTGTAGAGGAACTATCCCCATTGCAGATTAAGATGGAACCAAGCAGCCACCCAGTTGCAGGAATATCCTTTTGGAGGAGGGGGTAATTGACCTGGATCATCCCCCCCCCGCAAAAGAAACACCATTCATTTGAGCAGTGCTGAAAAACCACAGTCCATTTCGGTAGGTGCTTCTGCCTGGCTTCACGGGGTTAGTGGCTATGGGCCTGAGGGTATTCGTTTCGGGTCTGCTTTGGGGAGGCCACCCATTTGGCCATGGCTCAAAATCCCGTACCCCAGTGAACATCCCAATCCCCACTATAGACTAAGATGGGTGGTGAATTCACCCACCAACCAAAATGGGATCCCAGAACGGTTTTGACCACCGCCATGTTGAGGGTTTCGCTCAGGCCGTGGATGATGAGGGCCAGCTGCTGGGCCACGTGTGCTTCATGGTCTCGGACCTGCGAGGCCTTTTGCCGCACTTCTGAACTTGCTGGTGGCCAATGTGGCAAAGGGTTCTCAAAATCGAGGCCCTTGACGAAGGTTCAAGCGGCAGCCACAAAGAAACACACACACACACACAAACGCACAAACGCAGATGTTCTTCAGAGTCGCACAAGCGCAAGCCAGGCCGCCTACATCAGCACAAGCAGCTTGGCGCAAATCGAGCAAGGGCATGGCCGCGGGTAGGATATTTGACTTTTTGCTGTTTGGAGTGGCGAGAAATGAAGGGGACACATAGGAACATTTGTTACTATAGTTCTATGTGACATAGGCTCTTGTGTTTGCGCTTGTGATGTTCCCACTGGGCTAGACAGACATCATCCGTTTCTTTATTGGCATTCCCCCAGAGTGACGAGTAGTTGCTCCTGTCGCAAAGCGCGGGTGCACATAGGGTATGACTCACCGGGTATCACCATGCATCCTTTGCATGGACTCCGCCATTTTTTTTGAGCAGATAGATGCGTTGCAGTTCAGTATTGGTTTGAAACAAATGCATCTTTTGGGCCAGAATCCAGCTATGGCTATACCAAGCTTGTACAGTTCTCCAAACCCAACAGATTTCATTCCCCAACGATGCAACCGCCAGCCCGAACCGCCAGCCCCACTCCAAGGTACCTGCGAAAATGCCAAGCATAAGCTGACTTCGCGGTCCATGGGATAGTTTTTGGCTCAAACCGGCTTCTCTTGAGGCCCAAGTTGCGTGGCAGCATCCCCGGCGGCGTGGGCTGGCTGCCCTGCTTGCTATTGTCCGGAGCTCAGAGAGTTGCTCTTCAACCAGCGCGCAAGGGGCCAAGGGTTGAGCCAAACGAAGCAGAGTAGCATTTTCGTGGCAACACAAGACTAGCACATTCACCATCATTCACCCAACGTGTTTTTCTTATTTTGTGTCAATTTGACAAGAGCAACTTTACCAGGGCATGCAAGTGGTGAATGACTCGCAGGGCACTGCATAATGACTGGCCTGAGGTGCAATCCCGACACGCAAGTCCTCGTGAGGCATTTGCGTTAGCATGGCGGCCAGGGGTGTGGCCAGGCATGTGTCATTTTTTCCCTCGGGTATCGTTTCTTTTGGCTTAAAGGAAAGCCAAAAGGAACACCATCAGTTTTGGTCCCGCGTATTTTGGCACATTGCCATCATGTCCCAGAGCAATGGAATTAATTGGTCGAGTGAATCAGGCAGACGTGGCATGCATCCACTAGGATCAAATGCTGGCCGGCCCCATGTGAAGAGTGAGGCTTAGTTTCACTGCGTGATCCATTCTCTGCATGTGGCGCACTGGCTTTTCTTTGTTCTGAAGAATGTTTTGCATCTTTGGACATCTTGTTTTCACATATCTGAGAAGCTTGGCTTTTCCCTGCTTAGAACTGGTGTTTTTCATCCGGCCGTGCTCCCGTCGTTAATGCCCCCCCTCCCCCCCCCCCCCCCCCCCCTGGCACATCCGCAGCGGTTTCGCCTCAAGGCGAAGGCAGGAAACAAATCAGGAGTGCGGGGTGCTTCCGGCAAAGCCTGTGAGCTGCAATTTCACAGAACTGCACTGTTTACCTTTTGAGCACTTTCCAACGGAGCCGACGGAGAATTGCACTGAACGGGATGGCATTTTCTCGTCAACTCCGCCCTTCATATTATCACAGATATTTTCTTTGCTTTGCCAAGGCTTTCCGAAGATCTAAGTTGATGCATGCAGCATAGAGATGTTTTCAAGCGAAGAAGGGAGTCAGTGTACCCCAGCTAGATTGCACCAAACTGCTTGGACCATTGTCCCCCGGAGCTTTATCACGACAACGGCCGCTTTGTATTTTGCTTTGAAAGGCAATAGACACACATCTCCATGCATGTGAGCTGAGTCAAATGTCGCGAATGGCATGCCGGAACGCCCTGCAGTTGAAGGGGATCCCCATGCCATGTCTGGCATCGGTGGCAAACCAGAATTCTGAGGTCCTGGCCTTCTGAGCGTACCCTTTTCACCATGGTTTCAAGTGAAGCCAAAAGGCCAACTACCATGTTGCCCCCCCATTTTCGAAACATGCCCCTTTCATGGCTTCTGGCTTCAGCAGCCATTGGCTTCACAAGAAAGAGCCGGAGATTCGCAAAGCAACCAACCGCGTCAGCTGCATTCTGTAGCGACTTTCAAGGCTCGCTGTCAGTATTGATGTCACAACTAGGGACTGACGGGGTAGGTTTCTGCCTCAACCACCAATGCCCAAATGCCTCCAGCTTCGGGAGTCGATTTCTTTCCTGGGTGACCTTTTGCACATGCTAGCCAAGGATCTTTGCAGGAGCTTCGGCAACCAACACGCCTAGGAGCAAAGAAGCAACAGCCGAAATGTGCGCGCCATGCTCGCACCACAGCTCTATCCGGCGTATGCCGCCAATTGGCAGGCGCAGGCACGCGTTGCCCCAGCCAAAGCCAAGCCCCTTCGTCGCTTAAAATTGCTTCTGGTTCCCCAGGCTTTTCCCTTGTGACGTTTCCCTAAGCCAAAGGTTCCCCTCCGAAAGGAGGCGACACCCTTCTCCCCCGCTCGTCTCGAGGAGGACGCCATGGTCTTGGAGGCGGCGGAGCACTGCCGCGCGCTGCGCCAGACCCTGGAGGCGCCGCCTTCGATCCGCCGGAAGCCCAGGAGACGGGGATCGATTGACGGGGATTCCGACGACGACGGGGGGAAGGTGGGGTGCGCCCCGTGCCCCACGCGTCCCGTCCGGTCGACCCGGTCGACTTGCCCCACTTCAGGAGCCCTGAGGCTGACATCAAGCAGAAGGAGCAGAAGCTACGGGAAAAGGAGCTGTCGCAGCTGCTGCGGGACCAGCAGCAGCCCTTTGGCTACCAAATGGCATGGGGTTCGGTACTTAGCTTGAGATAGGACCAAAACATCAAGGTGTGTGCTTTGATCATTCTGGGTGTCTCGTCAACGAACCATTCAACAGGTGGTCCTCAATCGCCTGTGAAGCCCCAGTACTTGGTCTCAACAAGCTACCCAAACCTGTCTCGCTTTGTGTCCGCCCCGGCTGCGGTCACTCTTCTTTGTAAAGGAAGGAGCTTCTTGCATGGTTTCAACAAACCAAGACAACCATCAGAACAAGTCCTACGCTTGGGTTCTTTGACCGTTTCCTTCAGCCTCCCAGGCTGCTGGAGGATCAGAAGTGGCAGCTGCAGGAGGGCGACTGGCGTGGAGCTTGTGGACTGTAGATTCCGGCTGTTCAGAGCGCTTAGAGAGGGGACTGGAAGTTGCTTCCATCCACTTCGCCCTTTGTAACGGGATAATGTTTTGCGTTCAATCTGGTACACAGGCTGCCAGTAGTTTAGCCCCGTAGATTGATTTAGGGGCTGTGTGGGGAGGCTATCATGCGACGCAGTTGAACAAAGCCGAGAATTCCCACGGTCCCCACCTGACTGCCGATTTACTCCAAGATCCGTTGCAATCATGTCGGAGGTTCCTTATATTCACCCTGTCGCTTGTCCGAAAGAAGATGGAACCCTGATCCGATTCTGCCAACCAGAAAGTGACTCGATCTCCAGGCGCGGATTTTACGCCAAGCAGGCTTTACAAGTCCGTGCTTTTCAGACCCACGGCCATGTCGGAGAGGCTTCAAGTCGAGTCCTCGGATGGTCGTCTTCCCTTTGGCTTTGTCTGGTCCTACGGCTTTTGGGCCCTAGATGCATGGCTTTCACGCCTCCGCTTCAAATGCGCGTGGTGCACTTTCGGGTTCTCGGAGGAGCAGCAGCGCCTGATGGAGGAGAAGGAGCCGTGACTTGTTGCCGTTGCGAGTTGCGGCCGGCAGGGTTTGGAAGGAAGCCAGATCAGATATGGTTTTAATCGGTGGTATGAACTTGGCCGAAAGGTTCAATGAAGACGGGAGTGTGGGAACTGCACCCGCCGTCCCCAATTCCACGGGTTGCGTTCGCATGCATCGAGTGGACAGACTTTCCCTAAAGTTACTTTAATCACATATATACACATTATATGCACATATATTAGAAGATTCTATTTGGTGTTTTCCCTGGCACCACCTCCAAGAAGACATGAACGCAGAGGCTTGATTGGGGGACTTAGCCACCAGTGGAGGCAGATCAGGGCTCACGTTTTGCGTTGAGCCTGGCGGGTCACGCCTCAAGGGTCAAAGCGCTTGGCTGACTCAAAGCCTGAGCGATCGCCCAGAATCAATGCTCCCACATTGTCAGATCAAGAAGCAACCTGGAAGTCAACATTTCTGCAAACCATACCAATATTAAAGGCCGTCCCTGATTCCCGCTGGATGTGGAGGCTCCAATTGCGTGTTTCTGGAAGCACTGACATGGCAACCTGGTCAACCACTTGCGTCCCACTTTCGTTTCAGTCCTTGGCCGATAGTCAGTCACAGAGTGCGATATTGTTGTTTGCTGTTTAACCAACAAAACCACCACCCCCCGGCTTATTTTGACACGTACCCATATAAGTCGTCAGCATCATGGACCCTTGTAGCATCTTGATCATTTGATCGGATCCTCTGAGCATTTCCAACCTCCGGCGGTGCAATCTCCCATTTCAGGTTTTGCTTGAGACCGACTTGCGCAGCGAATTTGGCTAGGATCTGCAGCTGAAGAATGAGGCCAGGCAGCTGGCAGAGGAGCGGGAACTGGGCCGAGCCTGAGCTTGGGGCGATGCAAACCCGGAAACTGGGGCCTTGTCGCCTTCCACATCTCCAGCTCAGGTCGATGACAGATTGTTTTTTCCTTTCGTGTCGGCTTGGTGGCTTGGATATGCTTTGCATTAAGCGCCCAGCCCAAGCCAACGACTTACGAGGACCGGCTGGTGGCCCAACGCTGGCAGCAGCTGGCCTCCCTCCGGCAAAGGCCAACGCAATGGGCGAGCGGGGCGAAGTGTTCGTTTGCTTTGACGTTCATACGACAAATCGGAGGAGCTGGGTTACCCGGTTTCCCTCCTTCCAGTGGAAGTGAACAGGGGTGAAGGAGTGGTTTCCTCTTGACAAGGCGGGTTTGTTGTCTCCCCCACTTCTTAGGGTCGGCGCCAAGGTGCATTGTCAGTCTGACCTTTGGCAGGCAACTGGAGCAGCAGGAGGCGCAGCAGCTGCAGCTGGAGGAGTCTCTGGGCTCAGACACAGCAGTAGATATTCTGGTAGTCTGCCGTTCATTTGGAGAGGGCATTGGGGGTGGGGGGGAGGGTGGGAACTCCGAAACTCCTACCGGCCTACCCAGTTGAAGCAACCGTAAGTTGTATAGTCAGTGGCTCACATCCCTTTTCCTTTGTCAATCATTGGTAAAGAGCCAAGCGTTTTTTTTTCTTTTTTTTCCCCCTCCGTGTCTTTTGAGACAACCATATTGGGAACAAATCTGAGCAGTGGTATGAACAACGGCGTCCTCTTAGTTCTTGCTGGTGTTGAGGGAATGACCCCCAAAAACAACCTCTTGTGGTTTCCCGAGAAATCCCCCGGTTCATTCCATGTCTCATGCCCTACAGCTCGCGCCAGCCAGAGTTTTCCCTTGCCGTTGCGCCACCAGGAGCGGCTGGCGCAGGGGGTGGGGGCCTTTGCGGCGCAGAACAAGATGCACGGGGAGTCCCTGCGGGGCTTCGCCGCGGAGCGGCTCAAGGCGCGAGGAAAAAGAACAATCGCGGGATGCCGGAAGGGGGGGGGGGGAATTTGGACCAGGGACCTGTTTATGGGGTTCCAACAAATGCAAGTGGGGCCCTAAGAAAGGTTTGACAGAGAGATCTGTGCTGGGAAACATGGAGCCGTCCTTGTTTTGACAACTTTTGTTTGTTGGTTGAATCTCACAGGGGAATCACTCATTTTGATGGTTCTCTTTCAGGGCCACTTTCTGTGATATCAACCAAACTGATTAAGCTGTCACGGGAATGACCCACAGTGATATATGGAGGGCCGGGTCGTTGCAGCACAATTGCACAATTGCGCAACTGCAGAACCAGCACACCGAGCTGAACTTCAGCTGCAACACCTCCCCACGTTGTTTTACTCTGGTGCATCGTGTCACAAGGTTGGGGACCCTCCAAAGGGCCACAGTTTCCTGTATTTGGTCAACCATCCGTTTAATTTGAAAGGGATCATTGTGTTTTGTGACAGCAGAAGCAAGCGGGCGATGAGTCAGCACCCCCCAAATTCCAAGCGCCTTGCCTTGCCGGCGACGGGCAAGAGGCATGACAGGAAACAAGGGACCAGTCCCACGATGGGACATTTGCTTGGTTCAGTGCCCATGGCAGGTCTGCATGTTTGAACTTATCCCCGTCCAACTCCAAACCCAGAATTTTCCTGCACATCATCTTTGGTGCCAAGTGAGTTTCCTTTGAGGGTGCTCAATGGATAAATGTGGGGCTCTCCTTGTTCAAGGGACCCATTTCAGGGTGGATTAAAGTAAATGTTAAACCAACGGAAAGCTGAACCTCTCCTTCTTGTTTCTTGCTTCCCTTAATTGGTCGTTTGGGTTTAGCCTTTGTAGAGGGTACATGGCAAACCCCCCTTGTTGAACACCACCAAATCACCGATTCGGCTCCAAAAGCCCCTCCCCACCCCTCTTTTAACCACCAAAAATCCCATCCAAACCACCAAACCACCAGGGAAGCCGAGACCCCCCCGGGTGCCCCCCCCCCTCCCCCCCAACGGCCCACGGGCGCCTGAACCGACGCCAGGCGCGGCAGCTGGAGGAGGAGCTGCGGGCCTTGGAGCTGCGCCACACCGAGGAGCTGCGCCGCCAGGCGGACGCCAACCGCTTGGCTGGGGGGGTGGAGCTGACTCCAAGCGCGCTGCAAAAAACGGGGGGGGGGGGGGGCCCAAGATCCGTTTTTTTTTTCCCCCATTTTTTTTAACGGGTTCTTTTGCATCTTTTGCCGTGGGAATTTGCAGGTGTGCCGGACGAAAGACACTTTGCTTGAGTAAAAGCCCAAAACGGTACTGCTCAAAAAAAGGCACCACACCATGACTCCAGACGACTGACGTGTCGGTGCCTGTCGTATGAATTTGACTCAAGCGAGGAATGCATCTCCTTTTCCAGAGCTGAACAAACACATTCCAAAGCAAAAGCAGGTCGCTGTTTGCAAGGGGCCCCTCATTCTGAGAGCCCTGCCGGTGTCCTGAGGAAGGCCTGTTGTTGGGCTCCTGCTTCCGTTGAAATTGTTTGGCTGCTTCATTCCTGCGAGTTGGATGACCACGTGGGATCACATGTATGTATTTTCACAAATCATACCGAGCTCACCTGGGGGCAAAACAAGTTAGCCCATGATACAGGTGACGTGGGGATTCTTGATTTCTGGTTTGTAAATAACAACCAAATTGCCCAGATGTATGCGCTTTGCCGCATCTTTCAACAACCGATCCATCCCGATCTGGACAGCCATCTTGCTTCTTCGTTTTTGCTGTAGTTTCGCATTCATGCGCATTGAGTGTTGCCGCCCCGAAACACAGCTAAACGTATCCACATTGTGACTTGGAACACGTTGCAATTGATGTGCATTTTGGTGTGGCATGATAGGGTGTTGAGATCGCAGGATGGGGTTCAGGACTGGACTGAAGCTTGGTTTGTTGGTTTGTTTTTTTGTTCGCGTTTTTGCTGAATCCACCACCTGACCCAGAAAGGTAGAAGCATGTGTAAGCCGATATTAGCTTGTGTGAATGCTCGGTTCTTGATACTTTTTGCAACATTGAGCACTGTGACGAACACAAGTCGTACGTGTTCAGCTTGGTTCCACACCTTCACAGCACTCAACCTGGTAAAGATGCCTTTTACTCGGGAAATGCTTTTTCTTTGCAGGTTTTGGACATCTTCCAAAACCAAGTCAGGATCAACTTGCTTCAGCTTGGCTCAGCTGGGCTTTCCCCCCCGCCCTCGGCTGCCGTCCGAGACGAAACGTTCGCCAGGCCGCCGCGCTGGCGCCGCGTGGCGGCGCCGCCGCGCGGTGCGCGCTCTTTGCGCCCACGGCGCCGGTGGCCTCGGTGCTCTGGGGCTCCCTGCCGCTGCGCCAGGCCGCGCAGGCTCCGTGGCCAAAAAGCAGGGGGTGGGGGTGAATGGTGGGGAAAACCGGGGGGGGGGGGGGGTGAATTGGGGGGATTATATATATATATATATAATATTGGGAGGTTCTTTCTTATATTCCCTTTGGTTGTTTTGCTTCCTGGTAATTTGGGGCGGTGTTCAGCTTTGGGGCCTCGTGATCCTAAACAACAGCCGCAAACCAAGCATTGCTTTGTGCCTTTGTTGCAGAATCCTTCTGATTCTGCTGGCTTTTCTTACAGTTCTGATGAGAGTGTGAATCAATGTCTGGAGTTTCAACGGTTGCAGCAGGCCAAGCTGCGTCAATGCCTTTTGCAAGCTTTAGTGAACGCTGTGTTCTTTCAACGCATCCACCAACCATTTTTCTATGACCGCCTCGCAAGGGTTGTCGAGCCTCAGGAGGTGGAGGTGCAAGCCTCCGTGTGGGCGGTGGATGCGGATGTGCAGACAGACAAAGCCTCTGTCGACCAGGAAGTTCAGACGGGTGAGGACACAGAGGCGAGGGGAGCAGAGGTCGTTGTTCCGGTCACGCGAAACAAGCCATTTCAGGCTGCGAGAGAATTAATATTGGCTCAAAAGGGAGGCAATGCGTGTCGGCCCCGACCCCGAAGAGCTGACACCACCAATTCTAAGATGCAGGCGCTGGGGGCACAACTTTGGCTTGAGTTAACCTTTTTGGTGCTTGGAGCATTCGGGATGGCGAGATATGGCAACATTGTTGAATCCCCCCCCTCCCCGCATATTTGCAATTTGTGCGATGTTCCCAGGGTGCGCGGAATTGTCAGGGGGATGGGACTTGGCGGTTGGGTCCGGAGGTCGTGGAGTTGGAGGACCTCCTCGAGGAGTTGCGCAACGAGCTGGTGGAGGAGACCCTTGGTCGGCTGAACTTGGCCGGACGGGCGAAAGATGCCGCAAAGAGGCCACTTTGACTGGGCAACTGGAACTTGGGACTTTAGGGTTGGACTTGGATCCTGAGAGGACCTGGCAAAAGGCGGAACGAAGCGTGGACGATTGGGAATGTACCGGCAGAAAAGAAAAGAACCAGCAAAGGGGAAATCAAAACAGGAGTCAATAATTGCAGATCTGGAGTCATGCGAGGGAGCAGCAGCATTAGCGTGCCCGTTGAGAGACTGAACGTCAAAGGGAAGGGGCTAGCAGGGTCTAAAGAGTCTAAGCCGGGAGACAGTTGACTCCTTGGTGCAAACGGTTGTATCCCACGCCGAGTCGTCGTGTTGTTTCTTCTTCCGGAAAGCCGAGGAAGCTGCAGGCGGCGGTTCGCCAGAAGCACCGGGACCAGGAGATCCAGCGCCGCCCAACGGCAAATTGGGGGTGGGTTTTCGGCAGCGAGGCGATGATCAGGGCCTCCGATGAAGTGCGAATTTGGGGTTCTAGGATCGTCTAGGATTTTCAGGAAGCGCCCTATAGTTATCTCGGATGTTGGATCAACTCAGATTTTTTTGGATGAACAATGTTTGATGCCATCAATGTGACTCAAGTGAGACCGAAGGCTGCAAGTCCGAGCTCGAGGACATGGCCAAGCTCCAGGACGGGGGCTATCTCCGACCAAAACCGGTTTCGGGAAAATAGCTAATACGTCGTATGAGCTGGAAGCAGCTCTTTCCCTTGAAGCCGCGAGCAAGCCGGAAACCTCCGACCTGCAGAATCTGTAGACATTGCTTTGAACAAGATGGCTTGACTCAGTCTGGTGTTGAGCACCTGGTAAACTGAGACAGAGCTCGAAAGTCCGCCTCTTGAGTTCTTCTTGTGCTGCAGGGTTTTTCGCGCCTGCAGCTTCCGAAGTGTAAGACCGAGCCTCCTCCGCATCAGTTTGAGTTGAGCTCCATGCCCACCTGGACGGTTTCCTTCAAACACCGTGCAACCCACCAGTTTACGCAGCTGACCTAGTGGCCTAAAGGCGTTGAATCTGCGCAGAGCAAAAACAGGCATGGCGCTGCCGCGGTTCGAGACTAAGGCAGACGAGTTGTTGTTTTTCTTGTCTTCTGATCTCGGGCCACCGGTCAGTTTAGCCGAAAGCCAAAAGCCACAGCAACCAACAGCGAACCAATGGCACTGCATGACAAAAGAAAGACGAGCATTGCACATTTGTTGATACAGGATTCGCCTCTCATCCGATAGCCAAGCATCACCCAAAAAGGGCACTCGCTCAGAGTTTCATCGCCAGCGTCCGAATTGCAACTATATACAGCTGTCCCTTCTGATCAAGTTGTGATGGTACTGAAACGCGGTTGGATTTGTTTCAGTTGACCTTGGAGTCTTGCGCAAGATTCATCACCTTAAGCAGCCAAGGCAGTTCCATGAGGAACGTACTGCAGGCCATTTGGCCGCGATTGGCCCGCTAGAAACCATATATATATATAGCATATTTTCTTGTTGCGCCACTGGCAAAAGGGGCCGGGCATTGGTCTCTCTACTGGAGGTGCCGGCTTCCCATGCATTCGTCCAAGCGTGTCTTTTGCGTTTCCGGTCCGGGCTCTCTTGAGTCCACTGAAACACCACCTTTTTGGGGCAACTCTTTTGGCGAGTTGCCCTTGGTAGCCCATGTTTTCAGGAAAATGGGGGCCCCTGCCAAATCCTCTCCCATTCAGGAGGAGCTGGAGGCTGCAGAGGACAAGCTGCAGACCCCGGAGTACGTGCTCCACTCCGAGTTGCAGCAAGCCTACGGCAATCTCCGGGTCGGGAGCCCTGGTCAGATCATTGTAGCCGAGCTTCTAACATCCCAGTTACTGAAAAAGTGCACTGGATGATGCCTTTAGATCATCCTCCAAGAAGATGTCTGCCCCCCAAGTAGACTTGATAAATACTCAATGACGGTGTTTCAGTTGCAGGTAGTAGTTTTGGGGAGTAGAAGGTCCGATTCAAGTCGAACGACAAGGATTCTCGTTTGATAACCAGTTCTTTGGCACGAAGCGCTGCGCCAAGAGTGGGGCTTGCGGCTTCTCAACCAATCAAACAAGGCATTCTTTGTCTCTCTGAAAAAAAACACCATTGGATGAGGGTTGGTTAATATTCCTGGCCCCAAATGACCATGGTAACTTTTCCCATTTATGGGTGAAAGTCAAGTCTTTTTTGGTGGATTCCGTACTGGTCACCCCATGTTCATCCCACTTTTTTTGATCTGCTCCCACCAACTAACATGGAACTTGAAAGGGGGGTTCTGGAAGACAATTTTCCCATTTTGCTTTTGGTTTGATGGGACCCCCTGTCAGGTTCCATGTTAATTGGTGCCAATTGGCTTTTGGAGAGCACGTCTCTATCAGCCGACGTCAAAAGTGGCACTTGGCCGCAGGACATGGACACCACAGTGCGGATGCAAGAGGAGACGGCGGCGAGCGCGTGAATTCCAGGCTAAAACGAGTGGAAAGCCAGGCTATGTTGTAGGTCCTTTACTTGCAAATCCAACTTACTTGACTTCTTTTAGAATTGCAGAAATGCTGGAGACGCTTCTTTGGGCATGTTTGAAGAGCCAACGGCTGAGCGCGGACAACCACATGGCAAGAACACACTGGAGACTTTCCTGGAAAAGAGCGCCCCCCAAAAGGATGACGACCGTTTCCAGGCTTGTTGGGAGCCAAATTTTGACTGCTTTGCGAACGTGTTGAGAGCATGTGAGCAACAGCCGACCAAGCCATTGGTCGACCATGGCCCTCCTGTGTTTCTATTATTTTGCAAGATCAATATACATCTTGCGTGCATCTTGTGACCTCATTCTGTCCTTTTTCAAGTCCTTCTTTGCGAAGCGAGGAACACGGCAGTCCAGTTTGCTGGAAATCCATGGAGCTGGTTTCAGATTGGTTCCGTGTCACTTTTGGTGGAATTCATGTGGCAATATGAAATGGGGGGCACCCTCCCACATCGGACAGAAATCTCACCTCAATGATGTCTACCAACAGCTCCAACCAAATGAACATCATACTCATGCAGCCCATGCATTTCAAGGCCGCCGTTTTTGGCCCGCCAAAAGAAAAACCTTGGGCGACCGTTATGGGCGCTCGGTTCGTTCGATGTCATCGCAGGACCGCGTGCAGGCGGTGTCGAAGTCCTGCGAGCAGCGGGTGGAGCTCATGAGGGACCAGTCCCAGACCCTGATGGAGCAGACCAGGGTGCAGGCGCGTTTGGTGAGAGGGGAACGAGGGAGGGGGTAGGTGGGGGAGGTGGGGGAGGTGGGGGAGGTGGAGGTGGGGGTGGGCCCGGAGTCTGCTTTTGATGCAGTTGGGCTTCCTGGACGGCAGAGAATTGGTGAGCGGTTGGAGGATTTGCTTCGTGGAATCAGAGGGTGGAAGGGTTTCGTTTATTCTTGGCAAAATGAGAGATGTGGCCAAGGGAGCTGTGCAAGGTCAACAGGTTGCGACTAGGCAAGATGTTTTCAAATGTTTGTCAATGAAAAGGATCTTCCAAGTGTCCACCGTCGGCTTTTGCCTGGCTTCCGTGATGTGGTGGAAGCAGCAGCGGGGCTCTGCTCCATTTGCCGAGAGTACTTTGACGCGACATCAACGCTGAGTGCACTGCAAGCTGCCAGATGTGTGGATGTACTGAGCAACCATTCACACTCTGCTTTGCTTTTCGACATGCAGGGTGAACTTCTTCAGGCTTCTAATCACACCATCCATTTCCATGTGCAGCACTGTGAATTTGGCCTTTTGTTTTTCAGGAACCTGTTTCAGCTTACCCTTTGAATGTTGGATGGATGGTTGGGGATTTGAAGCCCTGGTTCTTGTGGAGGGTAACTGGGAAGCTTACTCCCCAACAGCGTCACCAATTGGAGGGGAGCTGCTTGTTTCTTCAATCCAACCCTGCGATCAGAGACACTGCGGCAGGCGTCGCAGGCTGCTCTGGAGCCCTGGCAACAGCAGGGGGCCATTGAGCGAGATCATGTTGTTGCACCAAGGGGAAAGCGTCTGCTTCCAGTGATCAGGGGATTCTGCGCCTAAAGCTCCCATAAAGCACACAGCCTTATGTTTTTACCCAGGAAAATCCTTTCAGAAGGGGAACCGCGGATCGTCAGTTTTTCAAGTTCCCATATTGCAGGCTTCCAACGGGTGTGTCCACTTTTGAGGGTACCATTTCTTGGGCGGTTTACAGGCAGATCAAGAGGGACACCACCCATTCCGACTTCCTGTTGCACACAGCAGTTTGTTTGGTCACGGCCTCTGCCATTATATTGTGTTGTTGTTTGCTTGCTTTTTTCGTTTGCGTGTTTGTTCGGTTGCCTGAATTTCCTTGCTTGTTTGGTTTGTTACCTTGCTTTGTTCGTGATTGTTTCTTGCTTGCTGCATTGCTTGATTGCTTGTTTGCCTGGTTGGTTTGTTTGTTTGTCTGTCTGTCTGTCTGTCTGTCTGTTTGTTTGTCCGTCTGTTTGCTTGATATTTGCTTGCTTGTTTGGCTTTTTTGTTTTGTTTGCTTTCTTGTGTACTATTGCTTTCTTTGCATGTGTAGTGTTGTTTGTTTGTTTTGCTGTGATTGTTTTGTGTTGTGTTTGTTTCTTTGATTGATTGCTTGTTTGATTGATTGTTTGTTTGTCTGTTTGTTTGTCTGTCTGTTTGTTTGTCCGTCTGTTTGCTTGATATGTGCTTGCTTGTTTGGCTTTTTTGTTTTGTTTGCTTTCTTGTGTACTATTGCTTTCTTTGCATGTGTAGTGTTGTTTGTTTGTTTTGCTGTGATTGTTTTGTGTTGTGTTTGTTTCTTTGATTGATTGCTTGTTTGATTGATTGTTTGTTTGTCTGTTTGTTTGTCTGTCTGTTTGTTTGTCCGTCTGTTTGCTTGATATGTGCTTGCTTGTTTGGCTTTTTTGTTTTGTTTGCTTTCTTGTGTACTATTGCTTTCTTTGCATGTGTAGTGTTGTTTGTTTGTTTTGCTGTGATTGTTTTGTGTTGTGTTTGTTTCTTTGATTGATTGCTTGTTTGATTGATTGTTTGTTTGTCTGTTTGTTTGTTGGTTTGCTGGTTTGGTTGGCTTGGTTTGGTTTGGTTTGGTTTGGTGGGGCGCCCCCCGTGGCAGCATGCTCGCTGAGGAGTACAGCATGGAGCAGCAGAAAACCTCCTCCCTGCAGGCCTTGCAAGCGGTTTGTGAGTTTTTTGGAAGGTTGGAAGGCCGACAGGGAACATACGAGGTGTTTAAAGGGTGGCAGGGTCGGGTTGCAACAAGAGATGGGCGGGTGGACCGCAATAGGATTGTTGAGCAAGGGGACGGAAGGGTGGAAGACAACGGATACAGCATTGAACAAACCAAGGGTGAAACAGACAGACCAAAAGGTGAACAAGCAGGACTTACCTTGCTGACATTCCTTATACAACTTACAATATGTGTGGCTTCGTTTCATTGATTACATGTTTCTCAAATTGAGTATGCCAAGCCCGTCCTTTACATCAACTACACTGTCTATAACACTCACGTGACCTGCGCCGCTTACGCGCACTACAACCTCCTTGCATGTCTGTCCCAGCATAGCTTGGTTTACAACGTCATGTACGGCATTTGACCACCCCTATTCTGTATCCTACCCCTTGAGGGGATCTGAAGTCATATTCTTGCTTGTGGAATTGGCCTTCCAGCCACTTCAAAAAGTCATTGCCACATTTCACATTCCCTACTAAGAACAGGCGAGCGAACTCGGAGTCTTTCGACATGGCGAACCTTCTTGCGGGTGGTGGCAAGCAATTGTTGTGGGTCCTCTGCAGTGTTCGACGGAAAGCCACCAGGGACCAGGAAGCGCCCCACCCACCTTTCACAGCCCTACCCACCCACCCCCACCCACCCCCACCCACCCCCACCCACCCTCACCCACCCTTACCCACCCTCAACCGCCGCCGCGCCGCCACGCCCGTTTTCCCTGCAAGGAGCAGCTGGCGGCGGCGGAGGCGCGGCGCGCCGAGGACGCGGAGCGCCTGCAGAGCCTCCAGGAGCGCATGGCGCTGGCCGTCGAGGCCTGGCGCGGTCCCGTTGCGAGTGGCCATGTGGGCCATGGCCCGGCCGTGTGGCTGTGGTTGTCAAAACCGTTTTGGGATCCCATTTTGGTTGGTAGGTGAATTCACCACCCAGTTTAGAACCTATTTTAGTGGGGATCGGGATGTTCACTGGGGGTACGGGTTTTTGACCCATGGCCATGTGGGTTTCTTCGGTAAAAAGGCTTTTGACCCATGCCATTTTGTATCATTCTTCTGTGCTTTCCTGGTTCATCGAATAATTGCATTCCCAAGTCCAATAGTTGTCAGACCCTCCCGCAAAAGGCCAGCGCACTGTCAAGCATGCCAATCATGTAGCTTTACAACAGGATATCTATATACATATATATATATATATACATACATGCACTTATATACATGCATATTTATATATATATATATATGTATATATGTATATAATGTAAGACCTTTGCAGGGTCAGCGGGGCAACTCCCGCTTTTTCAATTGCCATTTAACGCAGCGTTCTATGCTAGGCATTTTCCTTGTCGGGCCACTGCTTGGGTTGGCCGCGGCATGCCGCGATGGGCCCTTGTCAGGAAGCGGCCCTGGAGGAGGAGAATTTGAACAGTGCCCTTGCGGCGCGGACAGGGAACGGGTGGACAGGTGAACTGGGCATGTCAGTGTGTGCGCGCGCCTGTGTTTTCCCAGGGTGCCCTTGTCAAGGTTGAGTCAAAGGAAACCAAGAGGAACGCCATATTGGGGTTCCCTCCAACGTGCCAAGCTTGCTGTGAGCATGTTGTGCACTCGGGAAATGATGCAACGGCTGTGAAGGGTGCCGCGTACCCGTACTTTTTGCTAGGACTTGCATCGCTGGCATCAATCCGCCAGGTGATCAGCTGCATCCGCAATTCCTTTCGGGCAAATAGCCACCCAGCCAGGGGCCAAACAAAGGACGCCGTACATCATGATGGGTCCCCTTTTGTAACATCCCTGAATTTCAGGCAGCTGAGTTATTCTTGTAGGTCCAATACTCCGGGATGCCTTGGGGTTTCTGGAAGCGTAGAACAACTTGCAGTTGCCTCCTTTTATTTCAGCAATGGCCCGGCAGGCGCAGCGGGCCATGTGTGAGGAGCACTGCAGCAGGTTCCAGCAGGAGCTGCGGATGCACTTCTAAAGAATTTGCTTCTCCCCTGTGCCTGGCTGTCGACTTAACTCAAGCAAAAAATAATACTTGCGGCACACGTGGCTTGTAAGATCATGTACTATATACTGTTTGATGACATTATGGTTTGCCCGGAACGAATCGGCCGCAACCACCAACGCGATGAGGTGCATGGGGAGACTGCCCCCTGACCAATGAGGATAGCGTTGCTATGTGGTCTTGTTAGCCCACGGTGGACTGCCCATCTCAGCTTGACAAGCAGCATGCAAGAGCAGTTTATCGGTGCTTCTCAAAACTGGGATCCCATAACTTTGTTGGTTTTCCCAGTGTTTCCCATTGAAATACCAACCGCCCTGTCCACCATTCGGAGAAACTCCCGTATGGGAAGCGATTGCAGACTTCCTCAGAGGCAAGAGTATAAAGACCTTGTCTTAGGAGGTCCCTTGCGTCCACAACGGCCCCGTTTCACTGCGAACCGAGAAGGATCGGCAAGGCGTTTTAAAAAACGATAGCTGCAAAAAACACAGCTTGGGGTAGCAAACAAGCCTGACTTGTTAGCTGAGCAACACGATAACAAAGACGAGAACAATAATGTTATGCGAACATTGTCTTGGAGTTGCGATTGGCGGCTGGAGCTGCCGACGTACTAAAAAGTTGTGTTTTTTTTGTGCTGGAGCTGCCACGCTGTACTTTGTACTGCACTTGTACTGAAAGTTGAGGTGTACTTCGTGTGCTATACGTGTACTGCGATTTGGGAGCTAGAGCTGCTAACCCGTACTTCGTGTACTAAGCTTGCTTTGCGCGCTATACTGGTACTAAGCGTTCGCAGCTCCGAGGTTGAAAGTGCAGAACACCCACACACACACACCCTGCAGACAATAAGGAGATAAACACGAAAACCTAGAAAAGCAACTCTAAAAGCAATGAGGCTTTCATGCAACCTCAATTGTTATTTATCCAGCAGCTCAGTAAAAAGGAACGTAAGCCTGGAGCAAGTCACGCGCACCTCGCAGACCACGATCTCGAACGCAGTTCCGCGTGGGGCGCTACTTTTTTTGGAAGAGAACTGCAATGGCATTAGCTTTGACTTGTTGTTTTGGTTTGGTTGCGGGAATTTAGACCTTAGATAGACATCTGCGTAAACACATTATGTTCTTTCTTGGTCCAACCGCAGTTAGCTCAAAGAAATCGAGACAAGAGACCAGCTATCCCATGCTTCGTGCTCAGCGCGCGCGTCAAGCAATATGATGTTCATGCGGCTGAGCGACACATCCACGCCCATAGGAGCAGCGGCTCCGCGAGAGCGTGGCAGTATGGCTCAAGGAGGGGCGTCGGGCAATCCACTGGGCTGACATGTTGTACAGGTGTTCAAAACCATTGTGTGTTTTTTCCATGTGAGTGGAAGGCCAGCACACATTTCAAGTCAATAGGGTCTTCCTAGAGCTGGGAGCTGCCAGGTAGATACAGTTTTAAGGTGAGTTCGAGGCTTCATTGAGCTAGCAAGCTCCACACCCAACAAGTGGATTTACGCACGTTTGGTGCTGTATGAAAGAACTTGACCGTGCGGGAGATCTCTGGTGCTATCAATCATGTTCGCAACATGATGACGGCTTCTTCGCCCTTCCCACGACAATCATCAGTTCTGCTTTGGATGGTCGCGTAGTTCTCAACATGTTCCAGCATTTTTCTTGGCTTGCCAATTTCCGGGAACACTCCACCAAACGAGAGGGTGGCAAGCCCAACAAAATCGAGCAGGCAGAATGGTGCCCCGTCTGCCCAGGCGAATCGCCATGAAAGCTCAGCTCCTTGATTCGTTGTTTTGCTTCTCTTCTTTGAGTTTTTGGGCAACCCGCTTGTGTTTAGGTAACCAACTGAGAAACCACAGCAGCCATACGGGCAACCTGTCAAAACTGCAGTTGTGCTGAAGACGGTTTTGCATAAGGATCCATTTCGTTTTGACACGCAGCTAAACCACACGCATTCTTATCGAGGCTCATTTTGTCAGGGTTTTGCGATGTGGGCCGCAGAAACGTAAAGCAAAGCCTGTGAGTCACACAACAAGGGGCTGCCAGGTGTAGTATTGAGCAGATTTCGTGACCTAGTGCATTTGGTGACCTTGGCAGCTGATGGAATTTCGACTTCGATGCATTTACAAAGACCTACAAAGATGGCAGGCGTCCATTTCCTGGGCACTTTGTTTGACATGCGAGGACTCCTGGCGGAGGTGCGAGCTGCAGCCAGCCCTGGAGCAGGCAGACTGGGGCGAAAACGTGCCTGGTACGTTTCTTGTTGGCCGTGTCTAAACATGCCACTTCCGTCAAGCATTGTCTACACATGTTGTTCCCCATGGCAAGTGCACATCATGTGTGCACATTCTTTTTTTTGTTGCTTGTAAGAGGCTTGACATGATCGAATTTTCCAGAGCATTATTTTTTAAGAGAGCGTTGTTTTCAAGAGCTGATTCATTTGCACAGGTCTGATTGGGCGTGTGCAACAAATCCAGCATCCACGCATGTGTTGTCATGCAACACGGGTCAACATGGTGCCAGTCTAAATCCACAACATACAACACATTGTGTTTGGCTACCGAAGTAATGTAACTGCCCTCACCACTAGCCTTCTTAATGTGTAATGTGGACGCATTCAGCGAATCTTCAAGCATTTATTCACGACATGGTCATGGATGCCAGGTCTCATAGTGCATTTCTCTCATAGTGCATCCAAGGTCTGGGCAAATTGCCAGTAGTCCATGGAATCACTCAATTATAATTCCCACCAGGGCTGCCGGGGCATGCGCATTTTCCACGTGCCTCCGATGCCAGGCCAAGGTCTTGCGGCAGGTCATGGAGGAGGACCAGCGCACCGCGGAGGCGCTGCAGTTTGAGAACCACGCGGCCCGGCTGGCGGGCGGTTGGTGGGCGGGTGTGACGGGCGCGTGAAGGAAGACGCGCCGGGCTGGCAGCAGTGAGAAGGTTTTGAGAAACCTTCAGATGGTCCCTGCAAGTTGAGAAAGGGCCTGAGTGCATTTGAAAAAAAAAAAACAACTAATGCATAGGTACATGCGAACAGATGTATATGGACATATGCAACTTACTATCTCAAAGTTCTTGCAGCTCTTTGACATCCTGCGTCTTGCTGACAGTTCATGGTTCAGCACCAGTGGCAAAATTGCAACAGCAAAGCAAGGAGACGGGCCAGAAAGCTGGCGATTCGGCTGGGTTTGTCGTCTGGCATGAAGCATCAAGTGGAGAGCTTGGGGCCCTGGCAGGCCAGCGCGCAGCGCGGGTAAAGCCTCACGATAGATCACGGAGCAAAGGGGAGATTCCCCGAAGGCCTGCAAGACCAACGTGTGGACTCACCTGAAACCCGTCAGCTAGCTCCGAGCTCCAAACCGGGGGTATTACGGTATCTCTCTGGGCGAGTTGCCGAGAGGGGGCTGAGGCCATCCTCCTGGAGGCGGCGCAGAAGCAGGCGGCGCTGTCCTTTTGCTCCACGGAGGTGGCCTTTGCAAGGGCGGAGGCAGGGGGTATGCAATGCGGATGGGGAGGAGAGCGGAGGAGGAGGGGGGAGGGGGGAGGAGGCGAAGAGATTGTATTGTAGCTTGGCCTAAAGCTTTGCAACCATCGGGGTGGAATCAAGCCATGCTTTTCGGTGCTGCTGTGCTGCTTATGCGTAAAGGCACCTGCATTTTCTTTTGAATGCTGCTTGGGACCTTTAGCTGCGAGCTTTGCGGATAATACGTATTTCCCCGTCAACCAGAAAAAGTGTCAATTTTTCGTTTCGGCTGGGCGCAATGGCTACTCAGCTTCATCATGCGGTTAAAATATGTTTCTGGTTATTCGACGCATTCAGTGGCATCATCTGGCCATCCAGATCCGACGGATCCGAGCCGCGCGCAGAGCTCGAGGTGGACGCATGGAAGCGGGACAAGGGGGAGCTCAGCGCGAAGTTGGAGAAGGAGGAGATGCAGATGCTGCACGAGGAGGCGCGAAGTGAGCGAGTGGATGCCGACTTTGGGGGCCACTGTCTTGTTTGTTTGTTTGTTTGTTTGTTTGTTTGCTGTTTGTCAGTTTGTCTGTTTGTCTGTCTGTTTGTTTCTGTTTTGTTTGTTTGTTTTGTTTGTTTATTTGTTTGTCAAAGCTGGTGTGTTTGTTTCCATTTAACGATTCTATCGTGATAGATGCGCCATATGGAACAAGCCTCAAGACCTTCACATGCGTTTTTCAGTCACGTGCTTTGTTGTAGCGCCCACAATTTTCTCTCGCCAAGCAATCCATGTGAGGGCATCATGATGGTCATTAACATCTGAGCCACAATCAAACACCCGGGTGGTAAATCAAGTCCAAATAGGTGCGGATATCCCTTTGGTTTCTGCTAGACCACGACGCCCTTGACGGGCCATTTTCTTGCCAGTGAGGCCTTGCGACACCGTGGACCTGAGGTATTTCTCGGCATCTCCGTGTCGGGGCTTGTGTTTGCCGCTTGGTTTCGAGAGACGCCCAAAGGGACCGCCTTCCACTTGGCAGGCGGTCATCGAGGAGTCCCGGTTCCTGGAAGCCTCCGCGAAGCGCGAGGCGGCCGCGGCCAAGGAGCGCCGCGCGGGGATGCCTGAGCCGTGTGGGGGACTGACCATATCTATATCTCTAACCCTTTGTCTGTTTTTTTTTTTGGGGGGGGGGGCAAGAGTGATTACGTGTGCTCAGTGGCAGGCGTTTAGATTGTACCTTCTTGTTGAACAAGTTCACAGTCAGAGCATTCTTGGAGGATTGTTGCCCCTGGAAAGCACAGCGCACAGTCGGACTACACCGTGCATTGAGCCACGACACACAAACGTGGCCAAAGAAGTGCACGTGGGATATGTGTTCCAAGCCTGAGACAACGTTGGTTTCCTTTGGACTTTTGGATTCTTGCAAACAGAAGCCTGGCTGCTCCAAACTTGCAAGCAAAAGGTCGGACACTTGGTTTCGCTTTCGTTTCCCTCCGGCTCTCCGCCCAGTGCTGTGTGGTCTCCATATTCCATGGCCAACGGGCTGCTGGAGGGACCCATCTCACGGCTAGGAGCCAGTGACGGCCCGCGCGCAGCAAGCGATGGTTGCGCAGGCAGCACAGATGACGCAACAGGCCAGTCCTAGGGATGAGGACGGGTGCAATCTGGGTACATGACAAAAGGCACCGTTTCCAGCTCTGGCGAGCTTTTGGCGGAGCCAGGCGTTGCCTGCGGCGCGCTAATATTATAGGTCCAGCAAGATACATGCCCAAATTTTTCTACAAGTGTCTGATGAGTGGCCTGCGAGTACCGGGCAGGGTAGAGGCTCTCGCTCGTCAGATGAAGGGAACAATGCAAGCATACTGAACACATAGGCATGACTTGCTGTGCAGCAGCCGCAGGCCTCGTCCTTTGCGGAGGAGTTGCGCGAGCTCCGGGTGGAGGCAGTGCCTCGTATGGGGCCATTGGTGGCGTAATGAGGTGAATGCCCTGTTGTTGGTTTTCATTTGGAAGCTTTGCATTCAGATATTGGGGGCATACAATAAGGATCATTTCTGCTGTTTGGTGACTTCCCACTTCAGCACTTCAATGCTAAAGGGTCTAACTTTACCATTTTGTCTATTGACGTGTCGCTTTGGCAGGAGATTAGTTTTCTATTGTCGATAGATTCACCCGTTCATTAGTTCCATGGCTGGCGTTTCACTGCACCTCCGCGCGACCAGTCCCTTCTTTCCGCAGGCGAAGGTAGTGGATACCAGAAGCATTTTCAGCCTTTTGGCTTCCTAAGTATTTTTCAGACGTTTGGCTTCGCGGCTCTGATCTGCTTGGCCAGGTTGCAGGCACTTTCGGAGTTTTGCAATCAAGCAAGCACGGCAGAAAGGGCCAACAAGAAGGCCACGTCGCCATTATTTTGTCGGAACGCCTTCCGCTAAGATCAGCAATTCCAAGGAAGAGGCTGGCCAAGCAAGAACGGCTTCAGGCACATTTTTGCGCCAACTTCTCCAACTCATGCAATAAACACGTTTAGCCCGTGTGCATTTGTGAACACACGAGAAAACCTCGGCGCGCAACTTGTCTCGCACGCAATGGAACGGGGACGTAAACATTTTAGCCATGCTCCCTGGTCATAGGCGCAGTAGAACCAGCACGCTATCATTTTGGTCGTGCGTGTGTTCCCTGTAGAACGGGAGTAGAACAGCGGCGTTATCATTTTGGGCACCTGTGCTCCCTGGGGACATGATGGTTATGGATACAGTAGAACGGGGGACGTTGTCATTTTGGGCATGTGTTGCCTGGTCATGGATACATTGCTTGGAGCACCTGGAGGAAGATATCAAAATTTCTGGGGCCGCTTCCTTAGATGTAGAATTGTAGATGTTTCTTCCTTATCGGATCCGACTTTTCCACAGAATTTACCCTGTTTTCCTCATCCACAACGACTATGTTTGTAATGCGGGCTCTGGCTGTAACCCAGCGCACCTTGCAAGCGTAACTGCCCGTCCATTGCGGGATCCAGCTTGTTTTAGAATCAAGTGCATGCGCTGGGTGCTCTTTACACTTCGCAACTCTCTCGAATGGACTTTGGTTTCCCTTTGAAACCAACAGCTGAACAGGAGACTCCCGAATTGTTCAGATTGTAGTGAGCTTGGCAAGAAGGAACAACATTGCGAGAGCAGCACTCAGCCAGCAGCATGCAGCCCGTGCCTGATTCAGTTTGCAGAGCCTTTTTGAGCCTTTGGTGGTGTGAGCTGATTTTGCAAACACCTTGTTGCACAGAATAGCTTCACAGGGCTTGCAGAAAGAAGTATAAACGGGGTCTTTGGGATCTCAGGCCAACGAATGATCGTGGACACTTCCCCAATGGTTCAGTGGAATCTTTTTACGCCACTGTCCGGGTAGGCTCCTGAAACGGAGCCGCCACCAATCAACAGTGTTTCCCTTTTCAATAAGGCTGTCTCCACGTGAAGAAAACTCCAAAATGGGTGGCTCACGCCATGGGCTTTGATTCAAGCTGAGGCCTCGCTGCGACGGAGTTTCGCCTTCCGCCTGCAGTGGAACAGTTGAGATTGTGTCGCAGACTGCGAGGTTCCAAAATGGAAACCTTGTGAAGAGGGAAATGGACCTGCGGGGCGCTGTAAGCCGTTTAGACCAGCCTTGGGATGGAACATGCGTTTGCTGACTTTTGCAATCAAAATGAGAGAACGCAGACATCAGAAGCTTTTGGTTCTGAGTTTTCGTGGAAGGTGATTGTATCAGGGAAACCTATGTGCTATGCAGAAGGCTTACCAGGCTTACCATTGAGGGGTGGTTGGTGCATGTCGGATGGCGCCTGTAGCTGAGGCCGCCGAGCCGCTGCGCTGCGGCGTGGCCGCAGCTTGGATGCAGTGGTCTCCTGGTCTCGCCGTGAGGTTGAGTTTGAGCTAATGCATGCTGGCAGCTGGGCCAAACGCCTAGAGGCGTCGGACATCCTGTTGGAGTCCACGCTTTGCTTTGAAAGTCAAAGCGATTCGGCCAAGCTTTACACCCGCATGTTCGCAGGTCTGCTGCTTGTTTTGCGCTGCTCGTGTCGCATGTTGCGCGTCCTGCAGTGGCATTGTGCCAAGCAAGACACGTACAGCGGCATGAATCAAGCCGTACGTCATTGGTAGGCGCATCTCGCAGGTTCTTTGAAGCCCTGAGCTCACGAGTGCCTTAAAGCCAGCCAAGGCCACAGCCGATCCTCCACGATTCGGCTCAGCTGATGTGCCTTGGATTGCGCAAAGCCCATGTTCAGCCCTGTTTCACCCCTTTTGTTCCCTGCGCCTCCCAGTAGATTCTTGATGTAGTATAGTAAGGGTTTCAGCAGGACGGCGCCATGAAAGGCATGTCACCGGAAAGCCATAGCTCATCTTGTGCGAAGCCTAGCAGCCGCAAGCTGAGGCCGTGGAGCCTCCGCGATTCGGCGTGGCTGACGCGCCTTGGATTTGAAAACCGGCGCCCCTCCAGATGTCAATTTGTTTGGCGGCGTGTGCATGTTTTGTGAAGCTGAAAGTGATTTCCAGGGCACTCAGACTCAAGTATTGACCTGTTCAGGGTAGAAGGTAAGTTTGCTGAGCTGATTCGAAGTGTTTGTTTCCCTGTTTCATGGGACATCACAGGCCGCTCCTGCTCTACCAACTTATTGTAAACGCTTCGCGCTGCCCGCCGCCCGCCTCGGCCAGTGTCAGCCGGATTCTTTTGGCACGCATTACAAGCGAAGCAGCGAAGCATGTAGCTTGTTGGGCTTGGGAGCGTCATAATCTCTTTCTGGTTGTGCTCCGCTTCCACGGTGCAGAGCATGGCCAGTTGGGAGGCTTTCATATCCCAAGCTGAGCAGTCGACGCCACCTCCAGATGTTCGTGAGAGGGTGGTGAAAGTATTCGACGTCAAAATTGGCGCATTGGGAGTTTTGCTTTTTCGAGAACCCGGGAACGGCTTGGAGCGATGTGTCCTATGTCCGCTGGGCGCACGTGTTTCACTGACAGAGCACGGATTGGTGTGACCAAGAGCTGTTGATGGTCTCTTACCGGGACTTGGCACAGATTGCGTGCACTGTTTTGCGATGGGCCTTGTCGTTGTGCGATGGGTTGCCAACGGGGCACGCGAAATGAGTTGCGTCGCTTGCGCCTGGGCCGCTGCTCAACTTTTTTTGGCGGACTCTCTCGCTTTGCCCCGGTGGAAGTTGGCGCAGAATTAGATCTTGCCCAAGCATGCCCTCAAGCAGCGGCGCAGCTTCCTGGTCATGTTGCAAGTTTCCGGGGCAGAGAGGAAGACGATGGAATCCCAAGAAAGGCCACATAAGGATTTCCTTGCCACGTCCTCCTAGAGCGGGGGAGCCAGGCTGCGGCACTTTCAGCATTTCCACAAGCAGTGCCACCAGTGCTGGATTCTCGTTAGGATGCCTGACGAAACAGCATCGTTGGTGGATTGTGATCAGGGTGTTCTGCTTGACACGCCTAAGCAAAACAATTGCTTCCGGACACAGCCGCAGTGTGGTAGTCCAAGGCCGCAGTGCTCCAGAAACCCTCCACCAACCGTTTGTGATTGTAGCCGCGCTTCCCTCTGCCACGGGGGCGTCCTTGTTGCTATTCACTGGTGTGCTATGCCCGCTTCATCTCGCACACGGCCCCGACATGCTCTGCGTGCACGCCAAGTTTCTCTGACAGCGGCAGGTGGGCCGGCGAGGTGGGGCTGGTAGGCGTGAGTGCGTCGCAGCTGGAGGCAGCTGGAGCATGGGTTTAGGCCGCGCGACATGGGTCGTGGTTCGCGGCGACAGTCCGTCGCCAAACCAACAAGGCGTTTTCTCCAAGTCCTGTCCTAAGCAGCATGGTAGTCCCATCCCTTCCACTTCCCACCTGTGAAGGTTGAAGTTCTTTGAGTTCCCACGATTGCCCAAATTGCGCAGCAACATGATTGGAATTTGGTTCGGTTTATTTTTGTTTCTTCTCCGTGACTCAAACAACTCCAAAGTTTGGGCCTTCCCACGTTGAGACACGTTCTCCCGAGAGAGGCAAGAGACTGCCGAATCTGGCTGCAGGTGTGCCACTCGCGAACGGTGGAGCCTTGGAGAAACAATGATTTGCCTTTTCTGTACGACACTTTTTGAGTCATGTGTACATGTTAACATGTTAAAGCAGCCCTTCCGCAATGACAGAAGCTGAGCTAGCGGCACACATTAATGGGAAGTGGCTGCACAGGGCAAGTTGGTCAACATCCACTTTGGATGGTGCCAATCAATGCACAAAGTAGTTGGCAGATAAAGAGCACCACAGTTTATGTGCTTGGGATGGTGGATGCACTAAAAACATATATGTGATCAATACTACCCACATTTGCAAACACCACGGCTTGATTTCATTGCCTCCATGATAAAAAGAACCCTGACTCGCAGCCAGCATGTCAAGCCGGGTTGTGGAACCTTAAAGATGGTGCATGAGACTTCAGGCGACTGGTTCCCCATCAGCTGGCAAAAAGAAAGCAACTGTTTGCCGGGGGCCAACGAGACATGCCTGGGGCATTTTGCAAGCAACCGCATTCTGCTTGAGTTGAGCCAGCGCCTGTTTTGGAGTGAGGATGTCGCTCCTCGCGGTTTGCTTCGATGGAAAGCAATCAGCCTGTGTCATTGATCCGTTTTTGCATGGACCATCCAGTGGTTTTTCCTTTCGCAGGGTGAATCGCACGCAGTGGTCTTGGGTCTTTCCTTCAAAGACTTGTTTTCACAACCCGCCCCATGTCATTCCAAGGCCTTCGATTTGCCAGCCCTTGGAGATGTGAACCCGGACAAGGAGTAGCTGGAGCTTGCACTCCGAAGATGTTTGGCGTGTCGTTTTAAGGATAGCCGTTTCAGGTTGCTGTAAAGGGACACCAACAGGAAAGCCCACAATTTGGGGGATCGCCCTATTGTGTTAAACACAGCACCCTGGGTCCAGCTTTTGAATAGAGAAGCGGGGAAAGAACGCCACTGTCCTAATTAGTGCACGGGGGTGGAAGGAGGTGCAAAGTGCACAGGGCGCAGTGCAGGCGCAGTGCCACTCGTGTACAAATTGTACAGCGCCTGCGAGGGAAGTGCCTTTTGCGAGCCGCAGCAAGACAAGAAGATAAAGCTCACAGGCTGCGCAGAGACAAGCCGGTCGAGCCCGGAAGTTCAGAATGGAGGCCTTGAACATACCAAAGTTAAGCAGTAAAGAGTGAAGCTTCTGGACAGCAGTGCTCCTGAATCTTTGCCTTTTGCTGTCATTGATCTCCAGCCAAAGAAGGGCCATGTACAAGCACGAGTATCGCACTAGCTCAGTGTCCCACGCTAGCAGCAGCCAGCAGATGCAGCTTGCAGATGGGGCAAGTCTTGGCTCCTGCAGCCTCAAGCGCGTTGATATTGCACACATGGAGTTTTGTGGCACTCCGCATTGTCAGCTCATGGAGAGCCTGCAGCTGCCGCGCCCCAGACCTTTGGCCGGCGTGGCCGGCCCTCAGAGCCCTGAGCGGCGATGCCAGGCTGGGGCCAGCCTGATTGAATTTTTGAAGGCAGGCAGCAAGCTTGCGTTCTTGACTCAAGAGGGTCACTCACTCGACTACTGCATGGCTGAGCTTGTCCTAAAGTTTCGTTCGGGGCCTCCTCAAGCCTCGCACAATTGCAGCTGCAGAGGCGGGGGCTGTTTTTCAAAGCAGGGTAGATACCAATCGCCCCTGGGCGATTTCATGCGGCGGAAGGCCATCCCCCAACGCCTGCGCTCTACGCTGGCGGCGCGGCGCCCGTGCTTGGCGCTTCTGGTGCCCTGGGCACTGCGGCGAAGCCGTCAGGGTGCCCAGCGATTTCATAAGCCCATGGTCTGACGGATTGGCTGCGGCCATGGCCCAAATGGCCCGACACAGTTCATGACTGTTTGCAGGAGGATGGGTGTGTGTGTGTGTGTCTCTTTTCCTCGTGTTTGCTTGAAGAAAAGCTAGAATGCAGCTCGCTTAGATTTGCGGCTTGGCACCCTTCGCCGGAGCAACGGGCGAAAGGGCCAAAGTGAGAGATCCCTTAGTCGCTGAGAGGAACTCGATTCGGAATCCAAACATGCTCGGAATGACCTCATTCACGTTCCCGTGCAGCTCACTGGCCTGAAGCCGCTTGACTTTTTGGGAGAGGCTGCAAGCTAAGCCATGGGTCCAAAGCGTGGTGCTGGCGCATCAGTCCCAGGAATTCTGAATCTGAAATCTGAGCAGGTCACAAGCTGGTTTCGGCCACACCCTCTGCAAGCAAACAAAAGCGAGTCTGTGCAACCTCGGAGCAACACCCGGCGATTGTCTCCGCATTTTGTTACTGATCCCTGGCATCTCAGCGAGAGATGTTGAGCCATCCCTTCCCGGAGCATCGCACCATGGCGTTCACGCCTTGCCATGGGCCTTGGCGCCTTGCCACGCTGCCAGTCGCAGGGCCGGCGCGTTCGGCGGACGCCGCTTTGCCCGCGCGTGCCACAAGCGCGCCGGGCACGGGCGTACTGACGGGGACGGGGACGGGGCTGGGTGCAGAAGGGGCGAACACGAGATCGAAAAGGACAGGTAGGTAGGAGCAACCCATCCTTGTTTGAGTCATGAGTGGGTGTGGTCGTTTGAGTGAGTTGTGAATGTTTGTTTGCGGCGTACAAGCCAATTTGATTTATATGCAGGGTATCAGAAGTATCTTCTGTCCTCTAGCCACTCTAGACGGTGATTCACGTAAACGTGGCTTGGCCAGCATAGGTCATTCTAAAGAGACGCTTGGCAAGCTTCGCCGTTGTGGTGTGTGTGTATTGTGTGTGTGTGTGTGTGTGCGCGTTTTTGTGTTACCTTGTCTTGTACATTTGCCACGATAGATTCGGATCAGAGCACGCCAAGGGCCCGGGATTTTTCCTGTCCCCATGTTTGCCTTTGGAATCCGTCCCTTGGCAAACCTGGCAGCTGAATGGCATGACTTTTCGGGCTCCAACTGCCTCGAGGAGTGCCTTGGCGGTTGCTTTCGTGGCATCGCGAAGCGTCAGGCGCGACCATGCCGGGCCGACCGATTCGAAATCCGGACGGAGTCAGTCATGGTGCTTTTGGTTGCGGGAGCAGCTTGCAGCCACCTCGACATGTTTGTATCTCTGTGTGTTTGTGTACCCCATTCCAGTTTCAAAACTCGTCTCGCATACGATGGGGAAGGACGATATGCGACCCCGAGGGTCACTGCGTAACGAATGCGCCGGTTTTTCCAGGCGCAAGTCCTCCCTGCGCAGCCGCCTGGAGAAGCGTGGCCCAGCAGACCTGGGGGGGGTGAGTGAGAAGGGCTTGTCAGGGTGGGGGGTCTCGGAATGCATGGCATGGGCTTCCCTTCGAAGGCTGTCTGAATATTTGGGAGCACATTTCAGCTAAGTTAGGCAGGCTATTGCGTGTGGAAGTCGGCACAGGCCGCGGACCGCAAGACTAGGTTTCACGAACGTCCTGCACCAGGGTATCTGAAAAGACACATTGCCGCTTTGAAGATGACAATTAGGGTTGTGAGAGGATTTGCTTGGTTACCAGCAGTTTTTGAATATGTCCTTTCAGTCCGAAGAAAAAACCCAGCAGGACGGTTGTCTTTCAGAACATGCGAGCACACGAATGCTTGTGCGTTCAGCTCCTCTGCATAGGTCGCTTCCAGATTGTGCGCTGCACATAGCATCAAGCAGCCAGAATCCTTAACGCGTACGCGGGAAGCAGCTGGCTGAAACCTGATGCATTGGGCACACCTTTCACCCGCCGGAAGGCAAACACGCGTGCTGGGCCAGTGCAAATGAGTAATAGTACTTTGTTGAATATGTATTTCTTGATACGGCCACCCTAAAAAGTTGAGATTTCGCTCTGAAACGAATGGTCCGCCCCAAATCAAACGAGATCATGTCGTAGAGAATCATGCGAAAGGAGACAAACCGAGATCAAGCTGAGTCACTGCTGAGCGTGCAACCGGCTTTGGGGAGTATAACACGAGTTCCGAACGAGTCCAAAAAGATTCCGTAACGATTGTCATGGCTTGGCGAAGTGAGTCATTGCCAACGCGCGCCTTGCATACTGCACTTTTACCTCTGAAGTGCTATTTCTGTTCTGGAAGTGGCAAAGCGCGCTTCACTTGTACTGTGAAGTTGCGATTTCCGAGCTGGAGCGGCCAAAGCGTGCTTGGCGTACTACACTTGCACAGAACAGGCATGATCTGCGAGCATGAAAGACCTGCACAGCACTACAAATCGAGATGTAGTACAGCTGATGGAACTCTGCTGTGTATTTTCAGGGAGTCTGAGGTATCATCAGGGAGTCTCCCTTCCCCGATGAGAAACCCGTTGAGGGCGACATTGTGAGGACTTGCCTTGGGCCACTCGCCTTGTGGGGGGACTTGTTGAAAAGTTTCGTTTCGCAGGTTCCGCTGTCAATGATCCTGAAACCCAGTGGGGTTCCCCTTTACGAATTAACCATCTTGGAGCGGCATTTTATATCACTTGTCGGTTGCAGTGCCGGCCCTGCACGTGCCAGCATGTTGGCAACAGGAACATGTGCCTTCCCAAGCCGACATCCTTTGATACGGGCCATTTGCCTTCCTAAGCCGACATCCGTTGATACAGGGAACGCTGATCTAACTTTCTTGATCAAGGCTTCTGGTTCAACTTGCGTGGGTTCCAGGAGTTTAGTAACTCAAGTCCACTGCCGAAAATTCCAGCACCTCCGGGCGGGTGAACAGTTGCAGCGACGAACCACAGCGACATGGCTGTTTCCCCACCACTTTCATGATGCAAATTTACCCCATTGGGACTCAGTTCTCCTATGGCCAAGTTGATCGCTTAGTCCTTTTGAAAACGGGCTAAGAGTTTCTTGTGCTGGGTTCGGACCATCGGGTTTGGGACGAACATGGGCTGAACCGCAGGATTCACTACGTGGCGAAGCTCTCGGACGGCACCTGCTTCGACAGCTCCCGGGCGCGAAAGAAGCCCTTCGAGTTCGTGCTCGGGGAGTCGGAGGCATGCGATGGCCCGGCTTCCACGCACGTTTTAGCGGGGGGTGCAAGGGGGATGTGTTGAGAACATCAAACGCAAGGCGTTATGAAGCACTGGAAATGGAGGGGGCGTGAGCCATGAGCGCCCGTCAACAAACAGCTAGTCTACTATTCTATGGTGAAGTGCACTACACTTCACCTCGGGGCTGACTAATTTTCTGAAGTCCTCTTAAAAAGAAGTGTTTTTGACCATGGCTCACCAGTTGCCCTCCTCCCCCCAAAGAAACAGATTGCGACCCCATGATACGGCCACACGACGGTCAAACATGTGTCAGGGGACTGCCTGCAGGTGATTGATGGATGGGAGGTCCTTGTGAAAAACATGGCCCTCAGTGAGAAGGCAGAGCTGATTTGTCCGCCCGAGTACGCCTACGGTGCCTGGATTGCACAAGTGCGTTAGGGCCACGAGTAGATGGAGAGCAGCAGGAAGCAGCCATTCAAGCTGCCCAAGCAGTCCTGTATCTCCAGGGCATCCACACTTGAATATTCCTTTAAATACTTCTTACGGGTGAGAGCAGAGATTGGACAGTCTCTCCGATTAGCGAACAGGCAATGACGAGGGTTTTGTTCACCCTCCCCGCCCGGGGAAGCACAATCATTGGGGAGCCCCTGTTCAGGCGCCTGGCCGACCCCGATACCTTCTGTGTCCGCGTCCAAATGAGCTCACCCTTTGATCCGATTTTCTCGTGCCAGCGAATGTGTTAGCTTAGCACTCGTTTCGTACAGGTTTCGTATAGGTGTTGCATGGGTTCATCATTGGTTTAGAGGCACCTCTTGTTCGACTGCACTTGGGTCTGGGAAAGCGTACCTGTTTTTGGTAGGGGATCCAATAAATGACGGACAGGATGCATCAGACAGATGTGCCCTGCTTCCGTGTTTTTGTTGCCTACCGCCGCAAGTTTCGCCCTTAAGCAGCCAGTTCGCACTCAACTCTTTATTTGCCCATCCTTGGGCAACAGCAACGCGAACTCCTGCCTTATGGTTCTGCACTGGCGATGCTGAGTGCTTTGTGATTCTCCACTGGCGGAGTGCTGGTCCTTGCTGCAAGAGCAGCTCCCAGGCGAGCAGGGCGTGCCTCCCTACGTCCCACCAAGCGAGACCGTGCATTTCCGCGCCTCTCGGCGATGGAGCCAGCAGGTATGGCAGCCAGAAGCCAGAACCCGGGGATAGGCTTAGTCAGTGCCTCCTTCATCTGGTGGCTTTCTGGAAGCCCCCAACGAGGCTGATGGCCAAATGCAAGCACGAGATTTTGTTGGTTCTCCTCCGTGTTTCTTCTGGTTTTCATCACCACAGGCGCCATGGTGGCCCTTCTTATGGAATTTGGTTGCCGGTCCAGCGCATTCACCGCCTGGGTCGCGGAGAAAATGATTGGTCGACCTCTCAGGGACTAGCCTTTGCCAAAGGCTCTGCGAGCAAGTGCCGCAACCTGACCCTTGCCTAGGAAGTGGCAGATTTGCAAAACCTTTTAGCTCCAGAGGCCCAGAGGCATGTTGCAAGACAGGTAGTTTGACAAGGCAGTTTGACACTGCAGTTCTCGTGTTGGTGGGCGTTGCTATCCCGAGCATCCTGCTTGTTTTGAAAGTGAGCGTGTCAGCGGGATCCATTGTTCCAGCTTCAGCATGTCAGGGTGCAGTCCGAAGCCCATTTTTGGACAGCGAATCGAGCCCTGAAACAAGAACACATACTCAGTCAGATACTCCACCCTCCACTAACATGGCACCCGACAGACGGCCCCTTTTAAGAGGAAACGCATTTGCCGGGTACCTTCCCACAGG